AGCATTAGGGGAGCTGGCTCGAGGGTCGCCAATAGGAAAGGAAAGGGTGCTGGAGCTCAGCAGATGACCTTTTTGCTTTCCTGGGACAATCTGGGCTGACTCCTCACCTCCACTTCCTTCTTACCGTTACGGCTTGTGGGCTTTGCGTTAATGCACGCAGCAGGTAAGGTAGGTGGAGAGCGTGGAGGGCAGGAGCATCCAGCCGCAGCTAAGCAGCTCTGCTGAAAGCTAAATTTCAGCTCTCTTGAGAGCTGCTTATACATTGAGGTGTGTCTCTGCCTTGCTCCCAGCAGCAGCCGGTGGTAGCTGCACTACCTGCGGTATGCCAGCTCCCTGCATGCTGGTGCCAGAGTTGGCTCTCTGCTATATCAGGTGAAAATCTAACTTTTGTGCCAGCATCAACACAAGGCCAGACAGCTCCAAGACCACAAACACCATTCTCTCTTTTTTTTTTTTTTAAGCCCATAAAACTGAGCAGCAACGTACAAACAAGATGGAGAGCTTTGCTGGCTGCTTTTCAGAGGTCTGGTCTTGGAAAACCACTGCATGCCTCCACACCTATTTTGCTCTTAGCCACACTCATAGAAAAACATCAGCCAGACTTGTAGCACTACCAACTGAGCATAGTCACAACGTTTCCAGGGTTATTTTACCTTATTCCAGCAGCCTTGAACTGGCAGGCCATCTTCTCCCTGCAAAAGAGATGAGTGAAATGGCACTTTAGGACATGGAAAACAGTGCAGAGACTCAGGAAAGAAGGAACGGGTTAACTATTACAGCTGCAACAAACCATCTGAGTCAGGGTGGGAGGAATAGTCTGAAATATATTCCTCCCCCACTTGGAGTGACCCCGACTTCTGGCTGAAGTAGTTAGTCCAGCTTGAGTCAAAGGCTGGGGCTGAAGAGGTGGGGATTTTTCTGCAGGCTATGCAGAAAGGAGGCCCTTAGGCTTATGCACATCCTGTTCTCCTTCCTCTTCGAGGAAGGCCTTTAGCCAGGCTTCCCTTAAGGAAAGGGGGGAGCATAAGAGCTCCCATTCAACCAGAAAAATATTGCAGGAAGCTGGCAGGGGGAGGTGTGAGATGGCTGGTTTGTGCTGTCATGCTTGACTCCAAATCATAACACCGAGGTGAACTGTCATGCCTGGCATAAGAAGGCCAAGCAAATCCCAGATGCAGTGTGAACTCGAGGAGGGTCTGGAGGAAGGGAAAAAAAAAAAAAAAAAAAAAAAAAAAAAAAAAAAAAACAACCACACACAGCCCTGTGTGTTAAAGGGCCCTGCGTTTTATCGTTAAAAAACGAATTTTTCTCAGCTCACCCGAGCATCTCAGTTAAGGAGATTGTCTGAGGCCTCCTGTAGCTACTGACAACAGCAGAAACCTCCACGAAGTGATTCAGGCTACGGAAGAGCTGAAACGCCCTTTCGCTGGTCACAGCAGCAGCTCAGGCAGATGGCGATTCTGACTTGGGTGCCTCAGTTAATTACTCGCGTAACGACGGAAGAAACGCAAGTCGGACCAGCCGAACTGCAAGGCAGCTGCGCTGCTTATGCCATCGCGGCTGGATTGCCATCCCTAGTTCTGGACACAGGCGTCCCTCAGGAAATCCCTTCTGTCAAATCTCCCAGGGCACGCGCCACGGCTGCAGCGCCTTCCTGGGATGCTGCGTCCTTGCATAGCGCGTGCGAGAGCTGCACGTCGCAGACCTGGTCAGGACCTGGGCAAAGAGCGGTCCGTGGCGGGACGCGTAGTTGGTGTTTGTCTGTCCTGCTCTAGCATGACACCCGTTCCCTAGCAGGCTCTGCTGCCAGCTCCTCCCCAGCACACTGGATGAGGGCAGCTGGGTACAATCAGGGCTTAGTAGCACCCGTGGTATCTCTAATCCAACAAGACAGGACAGGTGGAGGTAACTCTGGCCCTCTAGGACCATGTTGTTCTGTGATTCGTGCTGAAAACAAAGCAGCCTGGTTTGCGTGCAGTGAGCATTGGAGACATTGGGTTTGGTGCTCTCAGGGGCTTTGGCAAGACCCTGACTCATTGCCACCCTAAAGGCTGCACAGAGAATCCCACGAAGAAATTATTGTGCCTAGTCCGTTCAACTCCTAAAAGGCAGACAAAGGACATTGACACTAGGGAACAGATTTCCTCTGCTTTAAAAAGCAACTGCTGAGCTGTTGCTGTCCCTTCAAGGGACCTCAACTGCAGGCAGTGAAGTTATACAAAGCATGATGCAGGCCCCTTTCTTCAGCCAACTGACTCGGTTCTTACTTCCGCCAGCGCTGCCTGAGAAAGCTGCCGAGCATATCATCTCACTTGAGAAGGGGGGGGGGAGGAAAAAAGAAAGCAGAGAAGCAAACGCATACCAGTACATTGAGAGGAACTATTTACAGGAGATACCCTTCCAAGGGACCGAGGAGCTGCCTGCTGCCGTGCCGCTAGAACCGTATCGCTTGCTGAAGGCACGTCTTGGAGCGTGCTCTCCTCGCCACGCTTCCTCCCACGCTCCCCCCTCACCTTCCACCGCGCGGGAACAGAGTTACGGGTGAAGCGCGGGGTAAGTTGTGGCACGGCCCTTGGTACACCGGTGGTGGTAGGAACGACTGGTGTAGCGCGGTGCAGGGAGAAAAGGAAAGTTAGGTGTACGAAGGAACAGGGCGCCAGAGAGTTACGCTTCAGGCATCAGAGGAAGACCAGGGTCACAAGGAAGTGTTTGTTGCAGGCTAATTTGCCGAGAACGGAAGTGTGACGTGCGTATTAGTACGGAGGATTTCAGTCCACGTCTCACTCCACATATCTCAGATTTACGAGGCATTAGTTCATGGGCGCCGTAGCAGTTATGCACACGGATGCGTCAGTGGGATGCCAAGCTTTTAACCTAGTTGGATCAAAAACCATGCTTATTCAAGTTCCCAGGCTAGCTTGCGTGCCAGAACACTATGTATATGTGTATAAAGTGGCATCTCTATTTCACTCCATTTTCTGGCAAGTTTCCCTTAACAAAAATAGGTACGAAAATAGGGGTGCATTCTCATGTGGCTACACAGGATAAGTCCTAAGAGAGAGCAGGGACAAACAGAAGACAGGCAGCTTATTTGGGGCACTGGTAGAAACCTTGCACCTGTAAAATTAGGTGCGTTGTATAGCCAAAAACGGTTCCCTAGAAACCCGTCCTTAGCGGGAGGCAAAAGGCACGGCTCAGGGGTTCTTTTCCTTCTTACACTGGTTGGGGGAGTAGGACTTCACCTGCGGGAACAGGAGAAGAGTTTCTTTGTATTACACCCAGAATTCACAGCGCAGCAACTGCGACTTTGCAAGCAGTCACCTCCGCAGCAAAGGCAGTCACTCTGCCCGACACGAAAATGAAAGCACGGGTAGGAGAGAAGGCCGGGAGGAACCGGGACGTTAGCTCTTCGCAGCGGTCAACTAACGAAGGCTTCTAATGGCAATTTCAGGGCTAATTTCCTCAGGGAACAAACAAAGTCCTTGCAGATGAAATATTGCTCCCCCCCCTTTCTCCTTGGGATGTATTTTTACAGCTAGTTGAAGGAGCCAGCTGAAATCACATCCGTTGCGGATGGCATCCAACACCTCTAAGTGAGGCGGCGCAGCTATCCTGTCTCTCGGGTTCAAAAGGCAGGGGGTGACTGTTCAGAGAGGCGCCAGACTGCGCTAGCCCCCCGCGAGCACTTGCAAACGGAGCGAACGAGGAACGCGAGCGTCTTCGGCCCCTGCCACAAAGCCAAGCCGCTGCAGAGGCACGTGCTCCTGCGTCAGTCTAACAAAAGCTCTGAAGGCGAAGGCAGAAAAGAAGCAGTTTCAAATAAACCCTCATCCCTGCTATGTTTTCCCCCCCACCCCTCGCTCACACCCCAAAGCAGCGCTGAGAGCGGCTGGGAATCGCCGCATGCGGGGAAGGGACCGTTCTCGGGCACAAGCGGCACGGGGACAGGACAGGTAAGGAAGGGAGCGGCGGCTCTTTCCAAGGCGTGCAGCTAGCCGGAGGCAGCGAGCGCAAAGCAAAGCGAACCGTGCAGGAAAGGGAAGGTACGCCATACCAATGGGCATGGGGCATCCAGCCCGTCCAGCCCAGGTAACCCCGGCTCACCCTTCTCGCCTTTAAAACCTCGGAGGCCCTGTTTATGAAATCAACCACTATCGTTATTTCAGTTAATGCCAGCCGCTTCCACGTCACGGCAGGAGAGGCTCGGTCGTGTCCTGGGCTGCCACGGGGCGCTCTGGCCGCGTACCCAGAATACAGATGGACGCTGTCTTCGGTTTTGGTTTCTCTGCATGACCAGTAGCAGCAGTTTCCTTTCCATTTTTCTATAATCTACAAGCCAGGAGAGGCTTCGCCAGCTGAGTTAAGCCTGGGAGGATAGGAACGATGATTCCTCGCTTTCGAAGTCACCTGCTGTTGCTATCCTCCCAAGGAAACCCAAGCAGCTACGTCTCAAGACGCAGGGGGCACAAGTGCTCCTGGGATTTACGACCATACTACAGGGTTTTTTTGGGTTTTTTTTTGCAGCATGCTCACTGCAGCTTAGGAGTTTAGACAAAAGTGTTTACACGTTCATAAGTGTATTTATTCACTTGCCTAGGATTTATAGGCAAAATAACTTTTGACAGAAATACATCCCACTCCAAACAACCGAGCTTTGCTTTCCCTCTGGGTACGGCGGCTCGAGGGCCCCGTGTCATTCGCAGGTGACCGCATCAGCTGGCCGTTATTTCCCAGGCAACAAGAACGGCATTCGGGTTTCGCTGCGTTACGTAGACACTAAACATTTCCAGAGAAGAGCCATATCTAGCAGCCAGGGAGACCCAGGGCTCTATCCGCGGAGGAGAAAGCCCTGGGCTCCCTGGACATGGCACTCGGCCATGTGCCCCAAACCGTTGGGAGCTTCTGAAGAGGAAGGAATATAACCACGGTCACTCGAGCATCGGCGGTCTGCCACTGAAGCAAGCAGCTCTGCCGCAGACAGCGGTGGGAACCAGCCTGGGCCTTATCCGAGTGTTATGCTTTTGCAAGACCATTGTTTATGTTATGATTTCCTTCTTTCTTCCCCATCAACAAATCTTAAAGCAATACATTAGATAAAACAGAACATACCAACGGACAGGGTGCATCTAATCCAGGCGCTCCTTGGTCTCCCTTATCCCCTTTAGACCCTCTAGAGCCTTTCTTGCCCCTCTCCCCCTGTAAATAATAGTTTAGTCCAAGAAAAAAAGAACATACAAAAGCTTTAGGATCATCCATTTCAAACATATGTCAGCAATAGTTTAAAAAAAAGGATAAACATTTAGGAAACATCTTAAAAGGGGAGAAATCTTCATTCATTCAAGATGCTCTTAAAAGAAGACAATGTAGGGAGCTATGACCTCCTTTACTGAGCTGTATAAACATTAGCTATTGCTCAAGTCCCACACTGAGAGACTGTAAGGACCGCACATCAAAAGGATAGCTGGCCTCGACTCCTTCTTCGCTACTCTGCGTCGCCCTTCCTAAAGGGATCCACAGCAATATTTTTAAACGCTTCCCCTTGAACTGTTCACTGAACGCCGTTTGCTTCCTCGTGCAGGGGCAGCATTAGGACCCGAGGAAACGCCCGGGTGTCCCGCTGCCCCTCCTCGCCAAGGGACGGTAGCGCCTACAGCCGGCCGGGGCCACGGGCAGGCTACCGCTGCGCATTTATGTTAGATCTATACCAAATCTTTCTGTGCCATATAAAAGAGGGATTTAAAGCTGCTGAGCATAGAACAGGGAAAGGGGCTGCGGTGCAAGGAATTGAATTTAGGGTCCTTGTGGGGAGGGTTAAAGGAATTAAGGAATAAATTCAGGCAGCACAGGTTGCTGTTTCTTCTCTTTTAAAAAAAAGTGTGTTACACTCAAAGCTGGCAAGAGAAATGGATGGGAGAGGAGAGGCAATGAGGAGAAATCACCCCGAACCAAGCACTGGAGCAGAAAGGATAATCCAGGAAAATGCAGCATGGGTTGCTCTGCAGGGAGGAGGAAGGAACCGGGAAGAAAGGCAGAAGAGGAGGAAGGGATAAAGGGGACAAAGGTGGACCTGTAGGAGCAAGGAAGACACACACACACAAGAAAAAAAAAAATACAGACATTAAACCAAGAGCGAAGATATCAGCTCGCTAGCACACAGTCAGCATTCCCCCTTTTTCAGCTGGGTTGCCTCGGCGCGTCCCCCCGCGCGCAGGGCAGCGGGAAAGCGCCGCTCGGCCCGGGGCAGGCAAAAAAAACCTCGCTTCCGCTGAGGCTCTCAGCCAGCCAGGGCGGTGGCCGAGCGTGCCCCAGGGAGCCCGCGCTGTATTATTTATTTTAACTCCGGTAGGAATAAGGGGCTTGCTCACAGTCTGCGAAGACCCCCTTCCTCTAGATAAAAAAAACCAACTGAAAAAGTCAAGAAATTCTGCTAAGGTTATTTTTCTATTTAGAAGCCATACAAAGAAAACAAAGCAAAATGCATCGCAGTAAAGCAAAGAGGAAGTTAAGCAGCAAAGCCAGAAATGGAACGATTAAAAAAGGGGAGAACTCTGGAACTACCATGAAACTTGGACCTTTCTCCCCTAGTTTAAGATGCCGATTGGCTACTGCTTTTCAAAACTGCCCGTCTATGCAGACTAAGATCAGAAATACATTGCAAATAAGGACAGAGAACATTCACTACGTATAAAAAACAAATTCATATCATGAAATTACTGCGTGTGCACATGCACCATAAAACTTTATATTTTCAGATAAATTTAGGTGATACCAGAGTCTTATGAAGAGAAAGTATACATGCATACATGTATATGAGTACATGCACATATGTACTATATTGAACTGCCTGACATATTTATGCGGTTATAGTCTTTAAGACTATAATCTCAAGAAGCCATTTATATTTGCAAATATAAATTGTATTCGACTAGGTCTCAGCTGCTGTTATCAAAAAGATTCAGAGTTTTAACAAACAAGACATTCCTTGTAGGTTGTTGAAAGCCTGATGAAAAAGCAAGGTGCTTAAATATGTGTTTTGGTCATGTTTATCTTTTCTATAACACAGGCGATAGAAACACAACCATTCACACAATTGGTTGTCCACGGAGGACCCAGCTCTTCATCGATCACATCCACTCAGGGCAAAGCCTGAGGAGACTGCATGTCTGATTCTTTAAGGTTTATGAATTTAAGTCATCTTGTCCAAATTTCCATCTAAAAAAAAGAGCGTTTGCTAGAGGCCAGCATTCTTTTTCAGACTTTAGGGGGAATTTAAGAGTAACGTAATAAGATTTGCTGCCTCCACCTCAATTAATTCTCATGGGAGTCCTTACACACGTCAGTAAGCTGGTAAGCGAGACTTCCCAAAGTAGGCCATGTTGGCCTAACTCTGCTATCCATGGAGACATGGATACTCATGTTCTCACCCATACCTCGGTGAGAACAGAGCTACGGCAACAACAAACACCTTAGCAGATCCCTCTGTATCTTTCAGATAGACGTACCACGATGGCCTAGATGACAAACTACAGGTATCACCTTATAAAATACACGTTCATAAAGTTACTTCTCTGAAGGTTTAGCAGACAGAATTACACGTTAGCTATCTTCAGGCTGCTCAGACATCAACCATTCTACCCCTGTGTGAAGGCATTAGTAATCACACACAAGGAGTTTGCCTGGTAACTTACCCGGATTCCTCTGTCACCAGGTAGGCCTTGTAAACCCTGAAACACATCAGTAAGAAAGGAGACATGTTTTAAAACATATAGGTCTTGTTGTACGCCCAGTCAAAAAGAAGCATTTGCTCCACAGTTTGCCCATTTTTTCTATCTATATCAATTGCTTTAGGGTTTAAAAAAAAAAAAAACGAACAAAAAACACCACCGCACTTCTGCAGATCTCATCTCCATTAGACCATCCAGGCTGGTTTCTTCAGGCAGAAATAGTCTCTAAAAGAACCAGCGAACTTCTCTATCTATGATGAAGCAGCTCCACGATCGCTTGAAGCTACAGTTCCAAGACTGTGGCCCCATTTTGCAAAAATAATCCCAAACCATGGGAGTTACTTCAAAAGCACCTTGTGTCACTCTGATGACAAGACAGGGCCTTCTCAGCAATTTGGAGGGCAGGCAGGCAGCTGTGGAAATGTAAATGGAGCAGATGTGCTCAACAGCAGCAATTTAGATTAAAATACATATCCTGTGAGCCCCACGCAGCTTCTTTTGGTAATCTGAGGACCAGAGTGAATTAACAGCTTCACAATGTCAGCTTCACCCCTCTCATTCTGAATCACTGCTCTGAAGCCACTCAGCTCTTCCTGTTGCTCCTCTAGGGAACTGAAGCTCATAACTTTGGTTGTATGAGCTACCCAGCCTAGCTGCAAGCACAAATGCCGAATTACAGCAGCACCTTAAGCTGTCAACCATGGGAAGGAGGGAGGCACCGGAGGTGACAGAAATCCCGAGTGCTCCCATACTTACAGGAAGCCCTGCTGGCCCCATTGGTCCTACAACTCCAGGATCTCCTTTACTGCCCTGAAATGGAGACAAAAGAGTAGAAATTGTTACAATCCCATACAGTCTGGGCAGACAGCACAGCCATGGCTACAGCAACACTGCATAGGAAATGTAAAGACAACCCTTTCAAAGGCCAAGAACAAGGCACTTAAAAATCAGAGGCCCAGCTGAGCATCTTACATGCACGGGAGGGAAAAATCCCAGCTCCTAGAAAGACCTAGAGCTTCTCTACCCTAAGGGGCTGGGTTATCTTCAAAGAAGCTGCAGAGCAGTTAGTTTTTAAGCTAACTCACCCTTTCGCCTTTTGGTCCTGCTGGTCCCGAAACCCCACTTGGTCCTGGAGTACCCTGTAATCGTAGGAAGAAAAACACATCAGGCCATTTTTACTCTCAGGCCTCCTTAAAGCCATGAGACAGTGCAGCTCCTTTAGGAAAAAAGCACAGCTAGGAAGGACAGTCCAATGACGGAAGGTGTCTAGCACCACTACAGCTTTCAGGGTTGGTGATGGGTTTGAAGAAGCTGCTATGTGCAATTAGAGGAATGGGGGAACTGCTGCATTGGATCACACCAGCACCATTTTACAGAGCTTTATTTTTAATTTTGAAGCTATGCCTTGACAATGGGTACAGCTTGCATTTCTACCAGTAGCCCACGGATGAATTTTTTTTCCCCCTCCAGTTTATATTACAGACAAAGCTGAAAGCTGTGGCAGAATAAAGGCTATTTAAATATATGACAAGCAGTTTTTGTTTCTTTGTTTCCTCGTTCCCTTCCCCTCCCTCAAGTCAGTTGAGTTGAGCAAAAATGAAAGAATTTGCATTACTTGGTGCGAAGGCAGCCAGTCATGCAGGTTGAAAGACACCATGCTGCAAAGATGAATGCAGATGCATACATACACAGATGCAAATCAAGAGGGGTATCATTCATTCCCAAGTCCTGTTCCCTTTTTGCCATTTATGCCACTCCACCAGGCTCTCAGCCACGCTAACATGAAAAAGCAATCTTTTTGCTCACCCTTTGATACAAGGGCCACCTCCTTCTAGCATACCAAACATCCTAGCAGCGCTGAGACTTGCTTTGGCTTTGAGAAGTTATCCCAGAGAAAGCTCATCTTTAATGCACACAACAGTCTATAGGCCTTCTGGCTCAGAAAAGGGTCGCATTGCCTCAAGGCCAGAGGCAGGCAGATTCAACCCTGTGTAGACACCCGCGAAACCTGGACTGGAGCGTTCTGCGTTAGATGGCGTCTCACATTCTCCCTGCTCACATTCTGCACTCTAAATCAAGTGCTGCCTTCTGTTCCTTATTTCTGCTATTAAAGGGGCTCGAGAGTTCACTGAGAGCTCACAATCCCTAGTCACCAACGTAACCCTTCTGAGTTGTGTGGAAGGACTTGTGGGTCAGGAGAACTTTTAGAAGTCAAGATCTGCAGAATGTAAGCGGAGAAGTAGTTCATGCAGCACACACAATTTTGATGCATCAGAGCAAGGGAGAAAAACCATGCTCTCCTTAGAGGCATGCACAGAAATTTAAGTCATGGAAACTTCTATTGTCTGCACACTTGCATCATTTTCAGATCACTTAAAGCATGAAATATACCAAGATACCACGTGCACACTTATAAAAATACATCTACCACTTCCCAAAGCAAAGGAGCAGATTAGCTGTCATTCAGGTTCAGTTTAGAAGCTATAGAGCAGCTGAATTATTTCCAGACGGGGAAATCAGTTTTTTGTTCGTTTGTTCTGTAAGTGGCCACTTAGGAAATCATGTATTGCCCACGTACAGTCTAAGACTGGTTAAAAGTGTTTGGCCCTTGTTTAACAGCGTTTGCCCAAGAACAGCAGAATGCTTTGTGGAACCAGGTTGGTGTTACTAGTCTCACTCCAGATCTGACAAACCGACAAGCTCAGCGACAAGGAGTTTATTTCCCTTTCATCTCATGCAGGGTTAGCAACACGAGGTAGGAAGCTTGCTTCTTCCTGCTCAGCTCTTGGACGTCACTGCCTCCCAAACCTATGCAGTCAACTGGAGAACCCATCCAGGTATGTGGGGCTGAGGGGGAAAAAAAAAGCACATACAGAGCTGCTGCAGTTGTGTGGCATCCTGCTGCTGACACAGGAATGGCTAGTCCTGCTTGCAGAAGGTATTTTAGATGCAGCTCCTTCTCGAGGAGACACGCTCCTCAGGCTACAGAGGGGCACCTGCAAGCGTGCCTGTGGCCCATTGCCACGCGTGAAAACAAGGCGCAACAAAAGCTTTTTGCTCATGGGACAGATTTGCCTAAGACAAATCTGGAAAGCTACTGTTGCAAAAACACTACAAGCAAGGATGGAGATTGCTCGCAATAAGGAGGAAAGGAGAGCAGAGCATCGTGGGGTCATGCAGAAGTGTCATTCACCTTGTTACGGAGCTAACGAAGCAGAATAAGTAGGCTGTGATCCCAGGATCACAACAGATTCACATTACCAAAAGTGACAAGCGTGTGACCTATCACCTTTCACCCTCTCCAAGTTTAAACCCCCACCCCCCACAAGCCTGCTTTGGAGAAAAGACAGTTATTCCTGGTGTAAACAAGACTGTGGTGGAAAAGACAAGACAAATCACAGCATTGGGGGAGGAGGAACGTAGGGTAACGGAGAAACGGAACTCACCGGTGGTCCAGGCCTGCCGTCTAAACCTGAAGCACCCTGAACAGATGGGGCAGGGTTAACAAAACACACAAAACAAAAAAAAACAAACAAAAAGAGGCAAGGAGGAACGGGGAGGCGGGTGGGGAGGGGAAGGAGAAGGGTAGGGAGAGGGGAGCGAAGCAGTGACTTGAGACAAACGTAGGCTTGCAATAAACCAAAACTCAGGTCTCAAGGACAGGGGATCATACTTACAAGCAAACCAACAGAAACACAGAAGCACTGAATACACGTAATATTGACCTGCAACTGTCACACCCCCTTGCAAATGCAAGTTTCCCTCCTTTCTGTGCCCCCACCGCCGCCTGACGTGAGCCTCAGGGGCTCCAAGGCCTGCCGTCACTGGGCTGCTTGCAAGCGGTGAAGAGCCAGCCTCAGTTCTTCAAGCTCCTACCAAGAAGCCCAGGTCCTGAGGGCACATACTTAGTCATCTGCAGACTTTCTCCCCTCTGCACCTCTTTAGCCCAAGGAGGAGGCGAGAGCCTGTTGTTTGGAGGGTGACAAAACAGGCAGCTCCTCCCTCAGCATCACCAGTGCAGGGTTACAGCTGATTAAGTGGTTGCTTTTCTACCTGAGCCACTAGTGCTCTGAACTTCCACGTCCAGAAAACTTGAGAATGGCTCTGCCGGAGGTCCATCCAGCCCAGTGCCTCCTCTGACAGTGGCCAGTAGAGGGAGCTTAGGTAGGATATAAATACAACACACTGAGGTTTTCCTCCACTTCAGTATGACAATTCCTTAGCTTGTCAGGCACGTACAGAGAAAAGCTAAAGGCTACTGCAGACAGTCTGTCCCGAAAGCTGCCGAAACCCTGGTTTGACATCAAGCTTGATGTTAAGTCACACATGAAAAGCCAGCAGATTCAGCGCTCGGATTTTACAAAGCCTGTCTTCACAGGAAGAAGGTACCAAACAGGTACTGAAGTATTTAAGTTGCATTTACAGTTTGACAGACTGAAAACCTGCTGGATCAGGCATTGAAGAGCTAATCAGGAGAGCTGGTAGCTCTGAAGACAGATGTTAGGTCCACCGTGTCTCTGACTTTACTAACAGCTCCCTGTCTGTGGTTCTTAGTTGGCCGACTTTGTTGATCCGACAAACAATACTTTCCAAGGCGACACTTCTGAGCAAGCTTTCTCCCCTCCACAACTCAGGAACTGTATTGTGAAAAGCCAAATTACTTCAAAACATCTGGACCGTGGGGGGGTCAAGAGACCAACTGCAGGAACACAGGCACAGGACCTCAGCTTCTGATGGCAACCACCGCTGCAGGACAACCAGCCAGGGCACTCCCTGCACACTGATGAGCTTGTCTGGGTAATTCCCAGGGCATCTTTTGCTCACACCATCACAAGGACCGTCTTATCCTGTCCTGATAACACAGAGGGCTTCAGGGAATAGCTGTTTACATGGAAAGCTTTTAATTTGCTCTTTCTCCCAGATAGAAACAGCTCAGCTGAGTGCCTGGAGTTAGATGAAACATGTCCAGGCCCTGGTATATAACCACTATAAACACAACCGAAAAAAGAAAACACTGTTATAAACAGAGACATGCACGTTTCAGCCAAAACCAGGGACAAGGGATCTGGGTGATCAAACAAAGGCCAGTGACAATGACAGAGTCACACAATGCACAAGATGAGCTCTTTGCAGTGTTTGCTTCTAGGCAACGCGTTCAGCAAGAGGAAAGAGGGTGCTTTGCCATCAGTGCTTTTTAACGAAGAGAGAAAACTTGAGGGCTGGCAGAGCAACTGAATGGGACTAAGTTACCGGTAACTCATTACCATTTGTCTGCCGAGTCTCAGACAGCAGGTATTTTAGCAGATACAAGCTGGCTGCCTTTTATTTGCAAAGTCTTCAGGTTTGCATCTAAAGCTCCTGCCACTTCATCCTAACTCTACTGAAATTCTTCCTGGCCAAGCTGAGCAGTGCACTAACTCGAGGTTAACGTTACTGAATTTGCAGTAGGGAACACGGCAGGCTGCTTCTACTGCATCAGGTTCCACCGCAGAAGTGATAGGAAAGTATCGAAGAGCGAAGGCTGCATACGTTCAGAACCACCACAAGCCTTGGTACAAAGCCTGGACCAGGGACAAACTGCTGGGAAGATGTTTCCTTTTCACTTTTGCATATCTCTGCACGTCAGGGCAGCGGGCAAGACCAGAAGAGCAGTTGCAGAGAACCCACACGAAAGCTACCGCTTGTTTCATCCAAGCCTGCTGGAAGCAGCAAGAACTAAGATGACCAGTGATCTGTTTGACAGACCTAAAAGGTGAAGGTTCTGTACAGAAGTTGAGACGTTATCAGTTTAAGAAGCAAAGGCACAGTTATTTATAGATCATCTTTCTCTTGCCTGTCAAATCCCTGCGCATGCCTCTTATTGAGGGATCCTTTTACAACTGATGCAAGTTTGGCTTGCAAAGCGCCGCTTGCTTCCTGGATACTTACGGGTAATCCCAGTGGCCCTCTGTCTCCTTTTTCACCCTGGACACCCTTCTCTCCTTTCATTCCATCAATCCCTGCTTCCCCCTAAAGGAAGGATGGAGCAGAAAATAAACTCACCGTAACACCACTTATATAACAAGCATTCCTCCGTCCTGAGCGCGCTGACGCGGCAGAGAGAACGCAAGGGGGAGCAAAGCGAGAGCAACGCCTTAGCCCGATTCTCAGCCCGCGCTGAAGAAAACCAGTACTCGGCAGGCCACCTGCCTGCCAGCACCAGTTTTACATCAATGCCAGTAAGAGGAGACTCGGGCCCAGCGCACGATTACAGATGGTCAAGGGGAACTGAGCTCCCTTCTGTGCCGTTCTCCCAGCTAACGCGAGGAACGTCAGTTAAATACACGTAGCAAAGTCTTTGGAAGTTATCTGATGGGCTGGTTTTACATTTGAAAATGGGGACTCGTTGGAAACGAATGACAAACGTCTAAAAGCTTTACAGAAAAGACATACTGAAGTCTTTTCTGGGAGGAAAGAGACTCCTTTCAGAGCAAGTAAAGCCATCTGTTTCAAAACCTGGGAAAAATAATTCCATCTCCCTTTTCCAATTACATATTTGTAATTCTATATTATAAATTATAGGGCAATATAGAGAAAATATTCAATTTTGATAAGGGCAAAATGCTTTCATCAACCCAAAGTTTTTTCCCCCACTCCAGTTCACAAGGCATTTAAAAAAAAAACCAAACCTTTGTTGCATTCTAAAACAGAAGAAACATCAGAAGTTCAAAATCTGCACAGAAACAAGTAGTCTGGGAGCTGTACTCTCTTGTACACCACGCTGCTGGCTCACGCTGCCAGCACACCAGTTTGTTTCTATGCAGCTGTGCGGCACTGCCCATCCTGCCCTGCGATATTGCCTGTGACTTGGGCACGTACCTAGAAGAACCTGACCTACTTCCAATATGTTGCAAGGGGCAGGAAATTCTCTTGCTCATGATTATAGAAAGCTTTATTGCAAGTTACAGGGATGGAACAAAACCTTCCGCACGCCCGACATCTAATTGCACCTGTTAATTGGGCCTACACAGATCCTCTGTTCAAGGAGGAATCGGCGCAGTACTCCTGCCTATAATCCTGTCTGTGCTGCGTGAGGCTTTCGCCTGCTTCATCTGGCACGTGCCCCAAAGACAACCGCATCTTACGGGAGTTTCCCAGGCACCAGATAGCGGTGGCTAGTGAGCTGCAGACAAGCAAGGCATGTGATCGCATCCGTAATCAGCACTTAGAGAAAAGAGCCGTCAAGACAAATTTATCATCCCCTCCAGCACCCAAGTAGTGCTGGTAGCCAAATGCCAAGCCTAGCCACAAGAACTAACACATTTCTCTTTGTACAAATGTTTTCCAATGTTTTCGGTTGGGGGGGGGGGTGGAAATGCAGCTTTTGTAGAGGAAAACAAATTTGAGTGGGAATTTTCAACATGTACCACTTTACTGCAGACAAGGCAGTGGTGCAGGCTAAGCAACACAGGCAGCTGGGGATTAGAAAGTTTCTAATCACCAAGAGCAGTGAAGTTCTTGAACACTTTTCTAGCAGCTTTTACAGGGCTTTAAGACTTGGCCAGTTCTAAGACAGAGCTCTTTTTTTTAGGACTGTATGACCAACTTTCCTTCCCATGGTAGTACAAACCTTTGTCCTTCAAAAAGAGCAGCCTATTTCAACCCTATTCTCACAGGAAGATTTCTAAGGGCCAGTGGTTTCCCAGTTCTCTGGGTAAAAACAGAGGGGAACGACCACTTTTCCTGATCTTAAAATGAGTGCTGCTAATCCATTTCCTTCTCAACAAAACATTCAGAAGGTTTTGTCTTCTAACCAATATGGTAAGAAAGTGTTTGAGAGCTAGAAAGTTGCTGCAAAGGAATTGTTGCGTTTGGGAGCACTCTAGTAAAACGCCACTATTCAATGTTTTAAAGCCTTACCTTCGGTCCTGGAAGGCCCTGAAGACCCTGTATTTGGGATGAGAAATAAGACATTGAGTAGTGTTTAAGGGGGTGCTTTAAAATTCAGGTATCCCAGTTCACTGCGCAATGCAGGGCTTTGATTTCCTGACACACCGAGGACACAAATGCTTAGCCCAAAGGCTTTTTTATTTGTGTAAGGGCACTTCATGTACTGTTCTAGCTTGGTAATGAGGAAGCCCTCGCCAAGAACAACCTGGCAGTGAGCCAGGCTTGCTATTACGACCGTTTATGCAGTTGATCCCTTTAATCCCACCCATCCCGTCTCTCTACGGCCTTCCCTTTCATCTCAGGCTCTAACACAACCTTCTCTTTACCTCCGCAGCCCATCATAGCTCTGACCTACCCTGAGGGGCGGTTTTGGGATTTGGTACTAAGCATATTCCTGCTTTAACCCCACAGTGTCTCCAGTGGTTACCTCCAGCCAGCATCCTCCCCAACCACTTCCCCACCCTATCCCTATGCCTTGCTCCTCAGCTGAGTCACTCAAAACTTACCGGAGGTCCTGGTGGGCCTTGGGGTCCCGGGGGCCCTGATATCTAAAAAGCAATGCAAGAGAAGTCACTGTCATAACACGCTGCTCTCAGCAGACGAAGGGGAACTTTTCGGTGGGGAAGCAGGGCACAGGGTGGAGCTGAGTCCTGCCAAGCTTGGAAACCTCAACCCACATCAGCAAGTGGCAGCAATCCAGGACAGAGGAGCTGAGAAGCACCAGCAGGACTCTAGCGAGGGTTATGCGGCAGTTGCAGAGACTTGAGAGGAGGGAAAGCAGGGAAATACATTCAGAAAAAGGTCCACTTCCAGTACTATCCCTTTTTCTACAGGGAAGCACAAAGTTAACAGCTAGCAGGCAGCAGTTTCAAAATGTATGAAAGGGGGTGGCTCCATGCACAAAAAGAGAGCGTGCTGTTAACCTGTGCATCTCCTTGCTGCAGGATGTAATAAAAGTTAAGAGTTTGAGGGGAGAACGGACAAAGTCATGAAAGCAAAAATCTACTGAAAGTTACTATATATCTAGAGCCAGGCAAGCACGGTTCAGGAAATCCCTCCACCACAAAGGCCCAGGGGGATATTTGTTATGCTTTCCATGTTCTTCTCTTCTTCCCTAGAAATTCATTTTTGATCAATGGTCATGCGCTACAGTGTTCTTGCGTAATGGAAGAATGACGGGCATCAGGAGCTAAAGATGGTGGGCAACTCCGTCGCACAACATGAAGCGTCCCGTACTCAGTGCAGGACGTGTATCATAAAAGGGTGGGATGTGGCACTGCTGCCAAATCATCCCTCTCTGGCTGCCGAGTTTGCAGAAAGAAAACGCGAAGGGTGACGTACCGATTCTCCTGGATTTCCTTTGTCTCCACGCTCCCCAGGTTCTCCCTTTTCTCCCTGCGTAAAACAGGCCTTGTCACCACCAGCTGCACTCTAGAGTCTCCCTCCATCAGGGCCCACCTGAGAGCCACCCACATGTCGTGGAGCAGCAACTCCCCAACGGAGGCGTGGGAAACTAGCATGCATTTTGCAAACATGGCTTGAGCATGTCCCTCCTGCACCTCTACTTCAAGATGAGGCACCTGACAAAGAGTTGGGCCTCTGGGAGCAGTGGCTGTGTAAGGGAAGGGCCAGCCAGCTCTGCCTGCCTTTCCCCAGCAGTAGCCTGGCCCGTCTCTGCTGCACTACAGCCTTCAGCAGAGGGAGCACGGCAAGCAGTAGCGTGACGCTGCGAGCACTAAACATCTCAGCTGACTTAGCCCTGCAGGTGGTGCAAGGAGCTCAGCTCCTCCAGAGAGCAACAGGACCAGACGCCCAGCTTGCATGCTGTGAGCAGCTCGCCGGAGGAACCCTTGCCTGCTGCAGGGGACCTGAGCTGACAGATATTCAGTGACACCTAAGCACCTGGCTCTTAAGGCACTCCTAGATAGGGGCCTGAGGCTGCCGAGACGCTCGGCACTTTGGGAAACGTCCCCTTGTGTCTGGCCCTACACTGCTTCCTCTTGCCCAGTGTGAAAGGTCAGCCTGTCTTTTTCACTCTTACTGTCAATCCTGGAAGTCCAATGGGACCCGGCAATCCTGATGGTCCTGGCATCCCTTGGTCACCTCGTTCTCCTTTCTCTCCAGTCGGGCCATCAAGACCCTATGGATCAAGAGAGATTTGCGTTTCTTGCAAGACTACGCCAGGCAGACATAAGAGACACCATTAACAGAGCTGGGACAAGTCCAACCAGCCTTCCGATACCCAGGGAAATGCAGGGCTTCACTCTTGAGCCCAGACGGTCGCATACGCTAACGCCTGGACAGCCTCCTGCCGTTGCGGACATGCCGTTCCCCAGAGTGCGGGCGAGGGCACCGCCTTCCTGCCTCTAATTCTGCTTGTGGTTATGCAGTTTGCTGGAGTCCATGCCAGAAATCGCTCCCTGTCACCAGCTATGGTGACAGCAGAGTTTTGTCCCAGGAACCATGCAGAGATAGGCAGAACCTCGTTCCATAAAATGCTCTTAACTTGTGCTATACCTGCTGACGCAGAAGCAAGCTGGGAGACCAGGCACTCTGCCCCAGTTAGTGGCAGGGATTTAAGCGCTTATCAGATGCGGTTGCCATCCCGGGAGGGCACGTGTGCCTGTACCTCAGCCACCCTGCTCACAGCCTGGCCAGCTCGCTTACGCTGCTGTTTCCGTTTAAGTAAAACGCCAGCCAGCGAGCCGAGGCAGCTGGGGAAGTGGCACTGGGCCCAGCAGAGAGCAGGGCAGGCAGCTGGGGACAGCAACCCCTACTTTCACCCCAGCAAGATGGGGCAACGCTCATCTGCCAGGGACACAAGACCTCACATCTGTACTGGTGCACATCACACGTCAGCAGCAAACGGCCTCCAGCAGTTGCCTTGGAGGGGCTCTAAAGTAGCTGAGGGGTCCCAGGGCCTTGCCCATACCCCGGACGTGCTCAGAGAGGCTCCAATTTACTCACTGGTAAGCCAGCTCGTCCTGGCTCTCCTTTCTCCCCCTTTTCTCCTGAGGCCCCAGTGTGTCCTGGTTCTCCCTTTACTCCAGGCGGTCCATTCTTTCCTGGCAGTCCATGAGGGCCAGGGGGGCCCATTTCTCCTGGCTTGCCTCGTGGCCCCTAAAAGGGATTCACATGACAGAAAGTGAGGCTTTTACAGATAAGAATAAGGTTAGTCCTGCAGAGTTAGTCCCCAGACCAGAGCCCTTTTCACTGACCAATAATGCCATTTGAGGAGTCATAGGCAGGACAGAGAAGATTTGTCCTGCCATCCCAGCTGCTCCTTACAGGTTAGGACTCTGCTAAACCTTTAATGCTCATTTTTGGAGAGCAAGAAGTATTTTTCCCCTTGTGAGAAAAGCAACTGCGCAACGTCAGTAAAGACAGACAAGACGAGCACGCTCAGCCCGGACAAGACCGCAGAAGGAAAGAACAACCCACAGACACCTTGTCTTACCTTCTCTCCATCGTGGCCCGGAGGACCCGGCAAACCAATTTCACCCTGAAGCACAAAATCATTATTTTGACATTCTGAAAGCAACTATTCTGACTGCTTCTGCTTGGAGTTGCGATGATGAAGGATGGACATTACAGAAATAGTCAGCAAGGGCTGACTTCCATAATTTACAGTCTCAGAAAAGAAAGTGTGCAAAACGCTGGTGAAGCAGAGCATCCTGCGAATTCAGAGGAACTTCCCCAGCCTTATCTACCCAGACAGGCCGTCAGGGCCTCAGTGCTGTAGCCTATGTTATCATCCCCAACTAACACAATCCTGCACCGCGATTAATTCCCATATGCAACTGAGCAAATACCTTCTGCCCCGGTGGCCCTGGAGGTCCAGCCACACCTGGAAGTCCTGGGGGTCCCTTTTAAAAAAAAAAAAAAAAAAATCATTTTCAGAATGTGACCACAGCATCTATTATTTTCTTGTTTTGAAACCAAACGGCTCCTCTGCGTTTAAGGGGAAATCGCAACATGTTTCCCCTGGGACACCTAAAGCTGCATTTGCAGCTGAACAGCGGAGGGTCCTGAGTGAGCTGCAGGACCAGACCAAAGTGAATTTTAGACATGTATTTCTCTATTCCCCCATGGGGGAAAGCAAAAGTGACCACAGCAGCACATCTATTTATCTGCTGCTGACACCGAGGTGAACTTAAGGTTTTCCCTCCCTCCTATCTGTAGGGATACAAGTTTAGAATAGAGATCATAGGAAATACTACATTTCAGAGATGCCCAGTGCAGCTTACGTAGAACTAGATAACAAATAATTTCTGTGTGTGGCAAATCTACTCATAAATATTATTGTTATCCTGTCGAGAGTCCTCTGATCTCGGTTTCTAGAAGCGGGCCCCCACCTCTGGTTGCCTCAATTCTGGCAAAGGTTGGGAGGCCCAGCTTAAGACAAGCCTACTACCACCACAGAGGACACCTAGGCAGAGACCACTGACAACCATTCCCTTGTGGAAATTCTGAGTGACACCCAAGTTCCTCATGCGCACGACTTCCCAAGATCCAGGTGCGCAGATGAAGGTGGAGGTTACTTCACCCCATTTTCCCTTGCTTCCTCAAGTGGAATCAGTCTTGGCAATTACTGCTTTAAAGAGAGGTAGACAGCCGTGTGGCCTACCAAACGGTGCTGCTTATAACCATCTTGTCCTGACCCAGCATCCTGCATTTTAGAGCTCCAGCTTTTTTTCCAGATAAGTTTCATATTGTCCTTAGAAATGAAACATAAGGTCACTGCTCCTCTTTTTTATCTCCAAATAACTACTTTGCTGTACTCTTCATCGATTTTGTACAGGACTGTTATGTCAAGTTATTCTTATCCACAGTGAAAATGCACCTCCCCTCCCTGCACAGTAAGTGTTCACCATGGGAGGCCAGTATGAGCTTTTCTGCAAAGCCTACAAGGCCCCTTCTTTCTTCACTTCGGTCATCCCCGCTTGCTCTTCCCCACTCTCCGAACTACATGTACTGCCTCTTAAAGCAGAGAAATTAAGGGCCTGATTATTATTAAAATGCCAAGATCAGAAGGCAAGATGAGTTATTCCTTCAGCTGTCAGCACTGCCCCAGCACCAGCTCAGAACAGGAAAAGGCAAGTGTTTTGGAAGTACCAGAGTTGTCAAGTCACCTGCCTAGGACGAACACCTAGCTACTTGCTTAAAACACAAAGTACGCAGCTAAGGACTTACCATCAAGGCCAAAGTTCGTATTTCCTAAAAAGCATAAAAAAAAGAGAAAATGAAACAACCATTTGAAAACATCACACTGGTCCAAACGAGCAAGGAGTCCACAAAATGAACAACTGTAGAGCAGCCAAGTACTTTTCACTGCTGTTATTGCCGAGGAAACAGATCTACATCACTCCAGGTTTACCACTTCCCAGGGAACGCAGAAAAGCACCCGGCAGTCACTGCACAGGGCAGGAGGGCAGTTTCTCACCTGCAGAGCTTCACTGATGTTACCATCATAGTCCATCATTTCATCCTTCCCAGGCTCTCCCTTAGGGCCCTGTGAAATACCAAATCTCTAGTCAGGACTTAAGGATTGCCCTTCCCACGGAACAGCCCGAAAGCTGTGGTTCACCAAAGGAAAAGGGTGTTGGAGGGAGGGGCCTGTTTCACCTCTCTCCCGTTTTGCATTGATTGAATGAAGCTCTTTAAAGCACTTACAAAGTAAGTGCTAGAGAAACGTAGCCCAAAGAGCCTTCATCACTACACCATGACTCAGAGCCAGCAGGTATGGCACGTACGTGCTCAAGTACGTACTGACTCGTACATGCTCAACCCAGCTGACTGTCGGATTTGGGCACGCACCAAACACCCTCCTGCTGCCCTTCACCGATATGCCAAAGGCCTGAATTTAGACTGGAGTGTCCGAGCCAGCCTCCTCCTATGAGGTCACCCTGAGGAGGCTGCACTCCAGACCTAGCTACAGACAGCACCTTCTGATGAAGGTATGGAGTGGAAAGCTTGGCCTGTCTCAAACTTGGGCATTGCCCAATCCAGCTATGAACACTTCAACGCTAGTGAAAACATCTGTCAAGACAGCCCAGGCCCAATCTACAAGACCATCAGTGGAGTCTAAGAATAGTGGGACCACCTGGGGGAGGGGGGGGGGGTCAAAACTCATCAAGCCTTTGTGAAGGGACACCTACCCGTGGGCCCATGGGTCCCTGCTCTCCGGGTGCACCAGGTTCTCCCTGTAACAGTAAGAACGTGCTGTTAGCAATGCCTATTACTTCACAAGCTTAAGCTTCAGGAGCCGTTGCTCTCCGCTATCCGTCTGAAACGGCCCGTGGCTAGGTAGGCTCCTCCAGCTTTTTAAAAAGATGGTGGGTACAGCTGCTAAGGACAGCCAGTCTTCAGAACCAGTCCTTTTCTCTGCTGAAAAACTGCTTTTCACCTGCTTCTTGCAACCTAAATAATTCAGTTTAAATGCTCCATTTCAGCTAAGCTTTCCGTGTGGCGGAACAATTTTGCAGCTCCTGAACCATGAGATAGGACCCCTACGGCATTGTATGGAAGCCCTCTGTACCTTTTCCCCCCGGGATCCTGCAGTGCCAGGCAAGCCAACATCACCAGCTTCTCCCTGAGACAAAGAGAGAAAGGGGTGGGTTTGTAACATGTGAAAAGGATGCAATTCCAGCGCTGGCTCCTCATTTCCAAGAGGAAGAACTGCACTAGCCCGAGTGTCCCTGCCAAGCTCCTGTCTCCTCGGGCAACCAGAATCTCCTGGTGTGACTTCTCTGCCATCTAGCACTGAGGGGTTATTCAACCTGAAGGAAAGCATCTGATCGTAAGCGTGCAGCCTGAACAAACACATCTGACATGGGACCTCAGATCTGTGTTCTTGGTGTCCTTGGCCAAGGAGCAGGATTTTAGGGCCATTATTTCTTGAGGCAGTAGAAGGAGGGGAGAGGAAGCTCTCCAAGGGTTTCACAGTCCTGCCTCAGGTACTGCAATGGGACTAGAGGCCATCATTAATTGAGGGACTGTTTTCTCAGAGTCTAAAGGGGACTTATTTGAACACAAGGAGCATATTTTCCACCCAGAAGCGCGGATCATAAATTTTCTCTCCTTCAGCATTTAAAACAACAAACTAAAGTGCCACGCAGAACCTGATATCCCTTCAAAAGGTATTTAGAGCCAGGCACAGATGAACGCTAGCTTCGCCACTTCCTACACACCCTGTGCCGGGCACAGTCCCTCGCAACACACAACCCACCAGAGGGAAAACACTCACCTTTGGTCCAGGGGGACCAGGCAAGCCTGGTGGGCCGGGTTCCCCTTTACCTCCATCCAAGGCATTCTCAGTATTTCCCTTCTCTCCCTGCATGCGAGGAAGAACAAACCACGTATCAGTTTGGTCTCGCCACCTCTGTATTTTCACTTGCCAAACTCTTGGCTAAGACAGACAGAGCAGGGCCCAAAACAACGTTTATCAGTCCCGTCCTGTCCCTCTCCCCACACTACCTCGCCTTTTAATAGCCCAGAAACATCTCTGTTCTGGGGCCGCCAGTCACGCGTCCAGGAACCAGGCCAACGTGGTTGTGTCCAGGGGCTCCCCCCATCAGCCCTGCCAGACCCGCCTGGGATCATCATCCACTTGGCTGCAGAGCACAGCAGTGCAGCTCCCTCAGGCACGGGTCTTGGAGCAGGAAGGAAGCTGAAATGCCACAGTACAGCTGAAGGTGCGCTTTTGAAGTGGGACCACTGGAACACCGTTCCCGGTCACATTCCTAGGGCCACAGCCTCTCCCTCGCTGCACGAAGGCAGGTCCAAGGGCATGCAGCTCCTCACAAGGAGGCATCCTTTGTGTGGCCCCATCATATCTCTGCCTGGGGTTTCCCATACCGGCACTCAGCTGAGCTCTGCAGAGCGTGTTGCTGTACCCTGTGGTGGTGAGCTATAAACGCATGGGGACCATCTCCATCCACGGGGGCGCATCCCAGCTGCAGGGCTGCACCCAGTTAGTGTAGGAGAGAAGGACGGGGGAATCAGAGAGGTCTGCACATCGGAGAACAATACAAACCTTTGGGCCTGGGAGTCCAGGCAGCCCAGGGTCGCCAGCTCGGCCCTTCTCACCCTGTTGGCAGAACACAGACACGGTCAGGACCTGACTCTGCAGACTCACTGTCCTGCAAGAGCAGCCAAAGGAAGAAAGTTGCTCCTAGTTTCAGACTTCTTTCCTTTCCCCCGGGGAGTTTTGTTTTAGCAGTAGTTAAGGGTTTCAAAACAGGCACCTGCCTGCAGTACCTGCATGGGCAGGAGAACTTTTTCTCCTATCGCTTAGGAGAAAGCGATATACATCCCTTCCCTTCCTTTCCAAAGGAAGCTGAGTGGGAAAGGGATCCAGAATCCCCTCAGTGTACCTTCCTCATCACCCTGATCTGCTAAACCCTCTTCCTTCTGCCAGCCCTTCATCATGAGCTCTCCTCCCTCTATGTATCCAGAAAGAAAAATAATCCACCCAGGCAACAGTTTATCTGGAGTGCAGGACTTGCTCCACACCCTGATGGAGTTCAGCTCTTCCCACAAAAGTGGTCCATTTGCTTGAGCCGCCGTTTTCACACCTGCTCAGTATGCTGAACAGTGACACCGCTTTGGCAAAGGTCTCACAGCCAGCCACCATTCCCACACTTATCAAAGGTTATTTCCTGCTCCTGTTCCCTAACTCCAAATTCCCAGCTCATCATGCTCACCCCCCTCCAAAGACATGCAGTGTCTCAGTCAGCAGCCAAGCTCTGTGACACACGGTGGTGATGAAAAGCAGTAAAAACAGGCGTGAGGAAAATGACAAACACAGATGATGGTGCAAAACCCCTGGTAGGATGCCTGGAGAGCAAGGCCTGCAAGCTGAGCTGCGTGGGGCACGCCGAGTGTGGAGAAGGTCACGGGGGAAGCAAGAGTGCAGGGCGTCCAGCACCCAGTGTTCACCTGGAGAAGTGACTTTGCTTAGTTCACCGTGACATTTGGATCATTCCTTGAACACTGGGGCTCAGATAGTGACCTCTCTGGGAAATTAAGTTCTGTCCTTCCCATTCCATGCAACGGCTGAACGCATGGTTTCCAGCTGCAGCATCCCATTTGGAGTCTGCATTTTGCCAGAGCAGAGGGTGGTGATACCAGAGGCTTCTTTGTTACCAAAAAGAGTTGTTTTCAATGCAGTAACACACCCTTGAAGGAAAGGTGTTCTTACCTGCAGTCCACATGTCCAAGACTAATAATGCACACACAAAGAGCAGGTCAAAACTTCTCACCCCCAGCAGGTGCCTACGCTCCACAGCGGGAGCGCACCCGATCGGCATGGCTAGCAAAGGGAGTCCCTCCCGGTGCCATGCTGTGGCCTGCACAGGGCTGGCTGCTCTCCTTTCTCAGGAGCACACCAATCTCAGAGCTCACAAGAACACATCTGACATGCAGGGGACTTGCATCGATGCTCCAAGAACAGGCATGCACTAGTGGCTCCATGGAAATTAACGGGCAAGCAACAATCTTTGTTTTAGACCATTCTGAAGTGCAGCGATCCCTTCTTCTGAGGTAATTTGGCCCCCCACCACCACCACCTGAGCAGGCACGTTGCTATTACAAACCAGCACTCCTCTGTCCGGAAAGAGGAAAAAAATTTGCAGGATCTCATGTTCAAAATAAGTTTAGCCTTCAGAGGTTTTGTGAGGATATCTCCCCCTGACCATCTCGAATCCTGTCCCAGGCCTCTGTGAATCCCGCACTCTGCCCTGCTCTGCATTTGGTATACCTGCTCCCTGTCCAAAGACGATGTTAGGGCAAATGCCCATAAGGGCTACATGGGTGTAGGAACACAGGAAGCTACTAAAACATCCCGTGCTGCCCAGCTGATGGTGGAAAGAAGCAGATTGCTTGAGGAAGGAGGTCAGATTATGGGATCCTTGTTTTGGGTGCTATATCTGGACTCAAAAGATACAGCGCTGCCCTCAGGCTTTCCCAGGACAAGACTACAGTGAGCCCACCGGGCCCTGCCTGCTGTCGGCCCACCCGTCTCCTGCAAGTAGGAACACACAAACACACTTCACCAAGGGGGCGAGGGCCAGAAGAGGACGCACAACCCCCTGCAAGCACGGCAAGGCAAGGCAACGCAACGCGGGCTCCCGCTCTCAGGGCGCGCAGCGCAGCAGTGCCAGCAAACCAAGCCCAAACACGCAGTGTCCTACCCGCTGCCCCCTTTTCCCTGGCAAACCTGGGGGGCCCATCCTCCCTGGGACTCCAGGCTCTCCCTTGGTTGGGAAGAAAAGAGATAGAGAAGAAGTCCATTATATGGCTGCGGCATGCTGTAACATAACCCAAAAAGTCTTAAACAAGAGGAGCCAGCTGTCCAGAAACCAAGCCGGCTGCCTAGCGATGGAGAGCGATGGGGTATTTTTGTACTGTGCCTGCCACAGGAACTCAAACCAGGTCACGCTATGCTGAGACGGGGGGTGGCTGGGCACCAGAGGCGGCACAGGACAGTCCACAGGGCACGCGATGGAAAAAACAACCCCCCTGCCCACCACGGTCCCTGCCGCAACGTGGGACTGTCTCCGGTGGGCACAGAAATGCTTGGAGTTCGAGGGGGTCAAGGGAAGGGGGAGAGGGAACATATTTGCTAAGCGTCCCGCGCATGTTTTGTGTCGTAGGGAGACAAGGCAGCTGGAGGGGACTGCCGTCTGCACAGACACCGGAGCGAGGCAGCGCGCGAGGGACTCCGCGGCACTGCCCCCCTCTCACTCGCTGCCTCTGAACACTGTTGGCCGGTTTGCTTGTGCTGGGGCCTGGATTTAGGTGCTGGGAAGTGCAGGGCCATTCCTCGCCTCCCTCAACCGCTCTAGGAGGAAAGGATCACCCGTGAAGCAGAAGGGCAGACTCAGAGCACCAGTGTTTTCCAAGAGTACCTTTTCTCCTGGAGTCCCCGGTTCGCCCTGGTGAGGAAAAAATGGGGGGAAAAAGTGAGAGCAGGAAGAAATAGCAGGTAGCCTCCTAGAGCTATCAAAGGGGAAGGAAGGCATTCCTTTATGGAAGCTTTGGGCTTGTGGACAAAGGGATGAGGATGCTTTAAACACATAGCGGGTCTTGCACGTGGAGCTTGTTTTATCTTCATTAGCCAGCTCCTAGGCTGCTGCAAAATAACCCAGCAAGCTGCAGACAAGGGGCTTTTATGAAACTCTGACTAACCACCTTGTAGCGTTTCAAGAGATGATTTACCAGGTACAAGGGAGCATCATAACAGGATAAGGCTCATCCACGGGCTTTAAGGGATTTGCCTGCTCCTGGCTGGGTTTGCCCAGGAGCAGAGCGAGACCGTGGTCTCAGCTGGGCTACGTAACGGGCTGTGTGAGTGTGCCATCACAGTGGTGTCAAGGAGAGAAACCCTCCACCAACCCTGAAGCTAACTTTCCTTTCGGTCCTTTCCCCTGGCAGCTGGAGGAGATCACAACAGGTTTTTCTGTCATTGTCCATCTTATTGGTCACCTAGGGGCCAGAGATGCCCATCTGGCTCACCTTTCGCTTCGCTGCCACCCCGACACTGCCGTGGAGTACGGCGAGGGCACCAAGCTCTCTGCAGCGGAGCAGAGATGCTGATGGAGATGGGACCCGCTTCCTCTGCCAAAAGCGGCGGCAGTTCTGATACTGCCCTTGAGTGGGAGCTGTCTGACCATCTTCCCATGCCCTGCACTCTCCTCCCGCAGCCCGAGCCCCGAAACACACCCTACTTCGGGCATTGCAAAGTAGGGTAGAACTGACCTTCATCCCTGCAGCAGCCATCCCAGGAGAGCCCTACAAGAGAGAGGAAAGACGAGAACACCTTGTTTGAAATGAAGAGGACACAGGCACATGCTTTACAAGACAGTATCAGCCAGGTGGAGCTATAAAGGTAAAATCCACATTTTTCCCCCCCCTTGCAAAGCTCAGGAGAAACGTCGTAACACCACACAGCACGCATCCTCCTTTCCTGTGCAGGTTGTTCACCTGTGGCAGTGGCTCTGCTTTCCATAAAGCTCAACCCCAGCAGGAAAATCAGATTCCACAGAACAGCGCCAAATAACGGAGGCATGCAAGGACATAGGCTGAGGACCAAACACTCAGTGCAGCGCTCGACCCCAGACGCGTTAATCCAAGCATCCTGAGGAATGCCAGCTCACAACCCCAGGGCCTTGGCTTTGCTATTTCTCTCATTCTGTTTTTGTCACAGAAGACAAATCTTGCAGTCACATGTTTTCAGGAGAGCTCTGGAGCCAGCCACCACAGGGGAAAAAAAAGAACACCCAGCAAAACAACAACAACAACGTCCAAGCAGCGCAGTCCGGGTGTCATTGTGCACAGCCGAGCGAGCCGCCACCGCGACACCGTGAAATCCAGCCTGCCCCTGCAATCCGAGACCCCGGGAGACAGGTGCTCCCACGGGGACAGCCACGTTTCCCTCAAGAGCAACAGTGCAAAAAGCAGATCTTCGGCATCAACCCTTTGCTCTGACATCTCTGTATGCCCTGTGTTAGTATTAGTTAGGTCCTGGTGAAGGGGTCCAGTTACAAAAGCAAATGTGAGGGGTAACAAGGGTCTAAGGAGAGGAGGGGGGAAGAGGTGAAATAGTGTTAGAAGGTGGGAAGCGAGAGAGGCTGGGTTGTAGCACGTGAGGCAGAGAGGAACGAGAGCCAAGTTCAAAGTGAAAAGAGCTTGGAAAAGTTCAAACAAGGAGGAGCGGGGAGCTAGAGAGCAGCAGGATCATACCTCTCAGCTTTCTGAAACAGAAATCAGGGACAAAGCTAAAAAACACAAGGACAGAAGATGGAGATCAGGGATTCTATGCAATAAAAGGGGGAAAAAGCATTCCAGAACGTCTCCGAGGTCAGTAGATTTTAGTGACTATGGGCTAGAGTCATGAAAGGAATTATGTGCAGAAAGTGGCTTGGGTTAGGCTTTCACAGAACATCTGGGGTCCCTGCTCCTCACTCTTTGGCTTTAAAACAGCAGCGAATGCAGATGATGTTATTTTCTAGTATTCATTCTAGAACTGCAACGCACACGCATGCGAGTTTGCTCACGCACACTGACCCTGACTCACTGGCGCGTTAGTCCAGGCTCACGCTTGCATAACCCGACTGATTGCAGTGGACTAACACACACATCGCTCTGAAGTTTGCAGCAGTCACAGTTCCCAAGACACCGAAATGCCAATTCCCTAGAAACATTGGTGATCGGCTGCTCTCGCTAGCATAAAGCATTAGAGCCCGATGTTGCAAGACAGCATATCAGATGAGGCATGCCATTTGTTCCGGCAAATACTTCCCCCCACCACCACCACCATCTCCATGATAAATTAGGCCCTACATTTTGCATTTTAGAAGCAGAAAGAAAATTCAGCTGAGGAGAGTCATTGACGAACACACACATCAATCCAGGTGATGCTTGTGCATCAGGGACAGTTGAGTGGCATGGGCGAGATCAGGCAGACAAACGTCACTCCACTGTTTGCAAGGTACCTTAGTGCCATGTCTTCCTGGCAGCCCTGGCATGCCTCTCTCCCCCTGGAAGTGCAGCGAGAAACACAGAAAAAGAAAGCAACAGATATGACATGAGTCCTCCCAGGGCTCTGTGCGCAGGGCCAGAGGCACAACCCTTCCTCCACCTCATTTTCACAGCACAGATGCCACTAGCCACAGCTGTCTGCCATCTGCCATCACTACAGCTGGACAGACCCCGCTGGAGAGCTGCGGCAAGCAGCCCAAGCAAAGTCCATCTTCTTTTGCAATGCCAGCCCCACCACAGAGGTGGCAGCAACCTCACCTTGGGAGGAAGAGGAGGGCGACACCACCAAAGGATGCAGCCCCTCCACAGCGCTGGGCACTGCCCCTCACACCTCTGTGCATTCCCCCAGCAGGATGTTTTACCAGCCAGCCCTGAAATCCTGAACTGCAGGGAGAAATACAGTGCTTTCCTCCAAAAGCTTTTTTTTTTTTTTTTTTTTTTAAAAAAAACATCATCTTCTCGGGGCAACTTGGATTTCCCAGCTGAGAAAACCCAACGGTGGATCTAAAAATCCAGGGAATTGTGTAAGTCACCAGCTCCACAAAGACCAGGGCTCATTTAGGATGTTCTGGATCTAACTGCAAGAAACATCCTTCATGGGATTATGCTGGTTCATCTGGACAAGCAGAAGTGATGCTGAGCTGGGTGTCAGGATCACACCCAACATTTAGAGATAGAATTAGAAAGGCCTCTTTTCTGACAAGTTCATTGTAACAACAGCACATAGCCACCGAGCTCAAATTTTACAAAGACGAGTTTCAGTCAGGGAAAAGGCTGGCAAAGGGGAGAGGTCATAACATAGACAAGAGACGGAGCTGGAAGAGAAAAAACAGCCTTTATCCCCCCACCACCACATCCTGTGGTGCAGCATGCTCCAAGATACAGGGGTCAGAGTCGCCCAGCCTCCGGGGACTGTAGGGTGAACAAGCCTATTTGGAAAAACACAAAATCCAAGGCCTGCCTTGTGCAGTATTGGTACTGTATTTTTCATGTGCAACAAAAAAAACTTGGACAGTCTTGGACAATCGCCTATCTTTGGACAGTCTGCTTAGCACTGTTATTTTGAGCTGGGTGTTTAGTCTTTGCTCGGAAGGCACACGTAGCGGGAATACCTGTGCTTCAGAAGAGGACGTTCTGCAATTTGGATTATTGACTAGGTTTTGTAAAGTACTGACCAACATTATAATACATTTGGCCCAGGCAGAGCAGATGCCTCCCACCCTACGCAGTGTGGGGCATTTCCAGACATAAAAGAGTACACTAATGCTTATGAATGCTTTTAGCTAGAGAAGCAAGGACCACTCTCTGTAGCCCCACTTCATCCTTCCCAACCGCACTCCCTGTCTTTATGCTTAAAGAGACCAAGGTGAGACTGATGCTTCCTGCTGTGAGGCACCCACACGCTTGGGGAGCCTGGCTCCACACAGCAGCTCTGCCTGAAGACAACCCCCCGTCCCAGAGACCCGCCTGGAAGGACCTGCGGGAAGAGAAGACCCATTTAATTTTTCAGCCCTGAAAAAGCAAAGCCACCTTGGTGAGAGGGAGCAGGCTCTCCAGAACATCTTTAGACCTCTAAACATCTGAAAGCTCCCGTGATACAGCAAGTACCCACCACACTAATTACTCAGTGATCCCTCTGGGCCCTTCAGGCCTAGGAAGCACCACACCGGGTGTCCTAGCCAGGCAGCAGCAACTAGCCAAAGGCAGCACTAGAACAGTGCAGCCAGACCAGGAGCTGGGAAATTTCACCAAAAGCAGGCATGAAAGATAAACCTCCCAGCTCAGGTCCCACCAGGCTCCAGAAAAGGGGTCAGCAACATCTCGCAACCCTCCACAAGCTTCAGGCTGCTTGGGGAAATACCTCTGTGTTTCCCCCGAGAAGAGATGGACCACATCACCTCCTTCCAGCTCACAGCAAAAACACCCACTTTGTGCGAGCAGCTTTATATCCACCCAGTGCTACTCACAACAGAAGGGGCCACATGCTGATCAGCTCGTTAGCAGCGGTGGGGACTAGGTACAGGCTGCCGATTAAAACCGAGTCCCCTCTTTTTTTCTCCTTGCTGTGAAAGACAGATCATGAGGAGGTTATTGAGCAAGTTTGTGGCCAGTTTCTGCATTGCTCTTTCCTCAGAGCATCAGGAAAAGCCGTGGAGAAGTCCTAAGGACTTTTCCAAATAAAAAAGGAAGCGAACGTCAGTTCAGCTGAATGTGATAGCTAGTCTGGGAGCCTTCTCTGAAGGACCCACCTGATGACACTTGCAAGTTGTCTAATGACTTTCATGAAACACAGGTGTAGGCCAATAGGATCAAAGTATAAATGGTGGCCACAGGGGAAAACAGCTGAGAGGGATGATTTTTTTTTTTTAATAAAATAAATAAAATCACATGTTCCATTCACCCCTGAGCTGTGAGAGGGGGAGGCTATCAAATGAACAAAGGGTTTGTGTGAAACCAGTAAGCCTCTTCAACGAGGCAGGAGTTGAAATGTTCTTCACTGCCAGCAAAAGTAGTGATATGCTAAGCAAAACCCATCAGGACAGGCCAGCTATGGTTCAGCTGCAGTACTTAACCTGGGCTTCTCAAAATAGAGTGGAGGTAGCAGCTAGTCTATGTAACTAGATCCAAAGGTGAAAACGTTAAAAGCCTTCTGGAGTCCCAAACGACCCTCCTACAAGGAAGATGGATAGAAAGAAGCAGTCTCCAAGGACAGCAAACTCCTGCACCACGTGAACGTTCAGGAGCTGCTACTGGCTGACGACCGGCTGCTCATTCAGGGATATCTCTGCACTTCCATTTCAATTCCTCTGAGCAGAGGCGAAAGGAAGCAGAGAGAAAAGTGGTCCTGACAGTAACAAACGAAAGTCTTTGTACAGAGAAATAGGCTGCGGTGGGACCGGGGAGGTGGCCCTTTGCAGCTTGGGTTTATTACCACAAAAAGCATGGCAGGATTCATCTCCAGGCTTTATGAAATGGGGTGAATAAGGGCCCAGGTGGATTGAGCATGTCTCCAGGGTCGCACTGAGCCTCTAACACAGAACAGAGAAGACTCGCCTCTGCGGATAAGCACATGGGGAAATGACCCTGAGACACCACTGGAGGCTTGGAGACTTCCCCTTCGCCCGAGCCCCAGTGCAAAGAACAGGCAGACTGGCGGCAGGGAGCAAAAGCCGCAGGAGGAAGGGACTACCTCGCTCTCTCTGCTCGGTGCAGGCAGCCTTGCGATAGCAGATGACAACCCCTTCCCCCATGTCTGCCTCTGCGATGAGGGAATTTCAGTTTTACTTCCAGAAGATGAATCAAGGTCTCATTAGTCCTTGTATGTGGGTGCAACCAGAGCAGGTGCCTGCTAGCCATGACACACAAAAGTATAAGCAGGGGTGGAAGGTAGCTTCTCCTTCCAGCCTTCTCGCTCACCTAGGTCCATACTCCAACTTCTTTCTCCAGTTCAGCTTAATGGGAGAGTATCTAGCTCTTGAGACAGCAGCAAACAGGTAGCTCTCCAAACATATTGGTTCCGGGTGCTATTCTGCTTTTATTTACACCGGCACAAACCAGAAGCGATTCCTTTGCCCTTGCTGGAATTACACTGATGTGAAGACGGACATGGGGGAATGGCTGGACTTTGCATGCACTGCACTGTTTCTGAGGGAATATCGTTTTCTTGTAGGAAGTCAGTCGCATGATATTCAGCTATTAACCCAAAGCCTACATCCCCCAAGAACTTCTCTTTAAACTCGGTATAACACATCCCTCTTAAGTTCTGGAGGAGCCTTTCCGCCCTTCAAATAGTAATCCACCCAGATGGAAAAAATACAGAGTGTATATGCTGCACATTAAATAAGATGCATGCCGCATACTAAATACTTGAAACGCATATGTCACTGCTAATGCCTCTCAAAAGATTATAGAACCAGTCTCTTCTCATGATGTTCAAAATGGACGGCACGACACAACATGCTCTGACTATCATGAACACTTGCCAGCGTTGTAATGTTTTAAGCACAGTCTACGCTGAGTAATATATTTTAAATATATGGGTAGAGTAAACTTCAACCAAATAGATAACATCTGGGCACAAGCCCTGTGAGCCTGTAAAAAGGATCCAGAAACGGAGACAGAAAAGCCTGGTGCCAAACCTCAGCCTGAGTTGCAGAGTTTGAGTGGATTTGATGCGTCAGCTAGCCAGATTTTACGAGGAAACCCCAACCCGTCCCATCAAATGGAGAGATGCCACAAATCATTAGCAAGCCCCATAGTCAGAGAAGTGCCTTTGGTGAGAATCAAATTCCACCAAGCGGATAAAGGCTGCTTTTGTTGCCGGAGCCGGGAGGCTCTGCTCGTGGTTAATCACAGCACAGATGTGCACTCCATTAAACAGCCCACAGCGCTGCCTCAGACCCAGCTTCCTCTCGCAACCCATCAGTCTGAAGAGCAGTCTCTCCCAGATGATCTACCGTGCTAGAAAGCCGTATTTAGCATGCCTACCTTTATGCCTGGGTCCCCTTTTTCACCCTGCCCAGGGGAAGACAGAGAGAGAGGAAACGCAGAGAGGAACAGTGAACACAAAAAGAAGTCCAGAAAAGCGGCACAACCTTAACAGCAAGGAGCAAAGAGAAAGCACCTGAAGGAGGGAGCGTGCAATAAATGCAAGCCCTGGCCTCTAGAGAGAACCGGCTCTCGACAACACCGTAACGGCCGGGACGCTGGCTGTAACCTGCCCCTTCCTGGCCTTGCAAGGCCGTTTATACTGCCAGAGCGGATGCCGGAGGTTGCTAACGCCTCCTACGAGTTTTGGGGTGTGGACCAGCCGACCACCAAACCATTTCGTGGAGCAGAGCATCCGCAGCCTCCCAGCCTGAACTCCGGCCAAAAATTGCCCAAGCCCTTTACAGAGCAGCAAATCTCTCTGTTCACGGGGCTCAAAGCAACCCAGAAAGTCTGCCTCTGGCCCCGACCCCTCGGTGTTTCCTTAGTAGGGCTTTTTGCCCCTGGGAGAGGACCGCACTGACTCCGAGTTTACGGGTTACCTTGGGGCCAGTAGCTCCGGGGAGGCCGCGTGCACCGGGCAGGCCTGACTCGCCCACCTCACCCTGAGGACGAGAAGAGAGGAAACGGAGGGAGAGGCGGAGGGCGGTGAGCAGCAAGGAAAGGAGCCGTGACAGGTCGGCAGAGGTGCGCGCGGGCTGGCCCGCGCCCCGCACCCAGCCGCCCTCCAGCAGGATGCCGGAAGAAGGATGCTGCCGGTGCGAAACGTACGGCTCAACGGTCCCGCGAGGCTAGGTTATGTCAGAGCGAATGTCTTTGCTCGGCTCGGCTCAGCTCTTTTCCCTCTCCTGACCCCCTCCACCGGGGAGGATTTCCTCCCCTGCTTTCCCGTCCCTTCCCTCCACCTTCCCCAGGAAAGGTCCCATCAGGGCAGGCTCTTTGCTTGGTGCCCACGATAGCCCGACAAGCCGTCTCACATAAGAAGAGCCCCCGTTGCAGGGACAGGAACGCGCCGGTCTTGCCGTTTTGCCCGCAGAGCACCCGTAAAGCAATGGGGAGGTGACGGGGGACACAGGACCCCCCCGCCCGCCGGGAACGTTCGCCTCCCCCTTCTCCGACACCTCCTCGGCAGCATGTCTTACTTGGCCCTTTGACCCGCCAGCGCTGCGGCCGTCATCCTGCAAGGCACCAGCACCCCCGCGTTCGTTTAGGGACGTGGGCGCTCCCCCTTCTTACCTTTCTGCCGGGGTATCCCTGAATTCCAGCGTCTCCCTGCAAAAGGCGAATGAAAACGTAACATCGTTTTGCAAAAGGCAAATGAAAACGAATGCTCTGTCCTTCTCCCCTGGAGAGATGCGAGGACGAAAGGGTACTCCGCGGGGAGAAGAAACCTTTGGCTCGCGGGCGACCGCTCCGGGCCGCGGGTTGAGCCCTAGGAGGAAAGGGGCGACCCAGCAGAGCTTCCACCTCTCCGCCCAGGCTCGCCTTCACCCCGCTCCCCCCGAGCGAGGCCGCACGCTCACCTTTGGTCCAGGAGGCCCAGGTAAGCCCTGTGGGTAGAACAGATACCGCAGTTGGCAGACGTAGGAAACACCGTGTGAACCGCGGGGTGCAGAGGCGATCTGCACCGGCGAGCTCAGGCACCCGCAATCTGTTCCTCATGTGGGTCAATATTGTTTTAACCTATGCTCCTAAATGAACCCATGGCCATACTGCTGCGGCCCACCAGGCCTTGCCGCAACGCATCGGAAGACCAAAAAGCTGCTTTGCCTTGTGCGCTGTGCTCCAAAATCTTTTCCGTTTCTCTCGCTTTTCTTGGGAAACTTGTTCCCAGCGCACTGTGCAGCTCTGGAGCAAATCAGGGCTTTGCAGCTTTCCCTGACAAGCTAAAGAGAGAAAATAGATCATTTGCTCTTTAGAGTTCAAAGGGAGCTGAAGACGCACGCAGGAGCCCCAACCCCTCTACCCCGGGCGCGGAGAGGCGCTTCCCCCCGGGGGCCAGGCTGGCTTGTCCTGCTAGCAGGCTTGCGGCAGGCGTTGCAAACTCCTGCAGATGGAAACCCTTCGCGCTGCGGGGCCGGCGTGCCCCAGAGAGGCCAGAGAGGTTGTGCCCCAGGTTGCCCAGAGAGGTGGTGGAGTCTCCTTCGCTGGAGATATTCAAAACCCGCCTGGATGCGATCCTGGGCAACGTGCCCTAGAGGACCCTGCTGGAGCAGGGAGGTTGGACTAGATGATCTCCAGAGGTCCCCGCCAACCTCAACCGTGCTGTGATTCTGTGCCACCTTTCCCCCCGGAGCGGAGCTGGTTTCCGCTACCTACCTTTCCATCTCTGCCGGGCTTCCCAGGTTCTCCCGCTCCGCCCTGTCCCAAAAGAGAGAGGCCCGTTAACCCCGTTTCTGCCCTGTCCCCTGCCGCTGGAGCGCTGCAACGTGTTTTAAATGCTGCTTCTGGCTTTGCCCCCCCCGGCTGCTTGCTACCAGCCCGAGAGCAGGACGAGGGCAGGACTTCCAAGGGATGGCACCGATGGTTTTTTCCAGCCAGGTTTCTGCCGCGAGCAGGATAATTACACCCCGCGTGTGACTTCCTCCCCGCGGCTGGGGCCGGGAAGGAGGAAACGGGCCTGGTGTCACGCTCTCACACGTGGGTGTCCAGACAGCAAGAGCCCCGGGTGCGCACCTCCGCCTCCCCTCCCGCCCGCCCTCCTTCCTGGGAACTTCTTCCTCCGGACGCATCCGCACACCCTGCAAATCTCCCGTCCCCGGCTATCTCGGGTTCAGAAGAGGCAGTGAAGGCTGGCGGCAGGTGT